TACCCTTATTTGGTGTCCTATGCTGGATTAAAATTAAAAATATTCTATAGTTACCACTGCAAAACGTTGTTTCAATTACTTTTTTCTTCCCTACCATTAATTTCAGCCTTGAACTACAAAATAACACATATGCAAACTACTTTTTAATTACACGAATGTTAGGAACAGTTATCATAGCTAATTACATCGACTTTAAATTCAGAACACCGCACGCGTCGTTTACGTCACGCAATGTTCCAAGTTCAAACGGAAAACAATAGTCGGTAAAAATGGCGCGAGCTTTTGTTCTCCACAGACTATTGTGCTATGTTGGCAGTGTTGCACTGCTATACATTTTTATTCACACGAAAAATTAGTTTTTGTGACTTTTTTCCCCATTTTCTCTTAACTGTTTATTAGTTAAAATAATGCATAGCGTAATTATTTTTACTTGTTACTTGTACATTCTAAAGCTTTTGGAATCGCATATATATTTTTCAATTTTTTAACGCGCAGCAATTATATTACTATTAATCTTGCTATAATTATAACACGATATAATAGTTTGTAAGATTTAATCTACAGAGCCCTAGTGAATTGCTCTGCAACAAGTGGTAAGCTTATCGCCCTTCAACCACCCTTGTTTAACACCTGTTGCGACCTGATATCAAGGCTGACGGATATATTTGTTACAGGGGTGGTTTTATTGCATTTATTTTGCTGAAATGCAGGTCAATTATTTTTATTTTGAAGTTGTTATCAATAAGCATTATAGATTATGAATAAGGCACACTCATTATAATGTTTGCCTTGGTAATGGGTAAAGCTGTGTTTCGTATATCTTAAAAATAATATTGAACTCGTGAACGGGCTTTAATTATTTCCAAATTTTCGCTTCGACTTATTAATTAAAATCGCTACAATTTGGTGTTTCCTGTTGCTAATATCATCGATGTTTAATTTCTGTTTTTATGATAATATCGACTCTTGGGTCACTATTACAATAATTACTTGCATAACTTAAGAGATAATTTATTGTATATCTGTGTTAACCGCAGTCGTAAGAAATAAAAACATAATCTAATTATGTTTGGAAACAGACCTCGTATTTTTCACGAAATATTCCATTTCGAAACTCCGAAATTTAGCAAAATTTATTTATAACCATTTTCAATGTATACAAAACATACGGTCGATAATCAAATCACAAGACATATGCCTAAGAAACAATTTAAATCTAATATTTATTATTTTTTATACATTACTATTATTTGCTTTGCTTAACAAACCAAACTACTCTTGCACATGTCATTTTGACAATTTGCCATTCTTAAATCCAGATAAAACCACTTTCATTATATTTTTTAAAATTATATTTTGAAGTAAGCCCCATGTCAAAGATATTGTTTATTGTCTGTGTTGTTAAGTGTGGCTTAAACGTTGTTTAACCTGTGTAATTTTCCTGAAATTTCCACACCATTCTAATTAGCACAATACACATTTGAAGGCTAAATGCTGTTGGCATTATTTTGGTGATCAGCCGGCCGAATCTCCTGCCTATTGTGCCGTTATCTACGCCATTCACAATTCGGCCCACCACACCGATGTAACACCGAGAATTTAGCATCCGATTCAGTAATAAAACAATGAACGTTTTCCCTAGACATAATGTATTCTAGCACTAAAGAACATATATTGATTTTTCGTAAATCTATGTTTCTACCAGAAGGTTCTAGAAAACTGCCAGATACTTATGAATTAAACCATAGACAATAAGAGAACTTTTTGCTCAACAAATAAACTCGTACTAGACGTACTTAAACAAGATTCGAATATTCAACATAGTATGTGATACGGCGAATAAAGTCTCTACTAAGAATTGTTAATGATTTTATTTTTATTAACCAGCTGTACGGATGAGCCCAATCAGAAACCATACGCGACAATTAAACTCAAATCTCTCAGTTCTCATTACTATAATTGGGGAAGCGGAAATCTTGACACTACACGCTTTTTGTTACACAAAAATTCCATTCCTGAAATTAATACAGCGCGTAGGAAACGCTGTAATTAAAAATTGTACGTAAATAATACAAAATACCAGTATTTCGAAATAATGACAGTAGTGTTCCCATAAAGGTCTGTACTAACAAATGTATTCGTATAAGATATTTATAAAAAAACCTTCCTAGATTCCTACTTCAAAAACAGACTATCACCACTAGCAAGCCATCTGATAGAAAAGCTAAGCACGTTATAGAATTTTTAATTTAAATGTATCATTTGTTCTTCGATTAAAAGAAAATCAATCAATCAATTATAGCAAAGAAATTAAACTACACACAATAGACGTATTTTCTATGTCAGTCTAATAAAGTGTGTCAAGTTTAATTACATCATTAATTCGCCAGGTGCGCGATACACAATACATAACCATTGTAACACGTCATTAAAACTATTATCATTAAAGAAACATTTGAAACATAATGGCCGCTGAAATACTTCCCACAGCTGGGACTCAAATCTTCCATTTACTGGCAACCTTTAAAATAAGCTAAACTATAATATAGGTAAGGAACCTATATTATAGTCTATGCCAGCCTTTCCCTCACTTACGATCGAGTACCTATAAATATGTAATAATTAAATTACATACACATTCATGGCAAAAGATTCTACCATGGTATTTTTAGGCGTTCCCTTTCGCGATAGATTATACTCATTATAAAGTATTACCAGCCAGTATTGCTGGTGATGTCGGAAAGCATGATAATAAAAAAAAATCATGTCAGAGTGTGTTATAAATAACAACATTGTTTTTATAGACAACTAATAAATACGACTTCTTGACGTTTTAATTTTCCTTAAAATCGCAATAAATTAATGAAAGCTTTCTCACGGTCCACAAATACTACTTATACTCTGGCAGCATTAAAGCTATATAAATTACGTTCAGACTTTTGAATATGACAGCTCTTTGAAATCTTAAGAAACGTATAACTTCGTAAAGAATTATATCTATACGTTTACCCTTTCGGACTATTGCTATAATATTATAAAATCCTACTTCTGTATCATAGAATTAGAGAAAATTATATTTGATCTAGACCTAACGTAAAATCTGATATAAGTAGCAGATAAAATTAATTCCCGTCAGAAAAAAACATAAAAAAAATTGTAAAAATCCATCAAAAGACAGGTTAAACTTTTAATTAAATGCCTTGAGCTGGGGACTTTCAGCTCCAAAGGATTGTGTATCCTTCCAAGTAGTAGAAAAAATGTTTTAACTTTTATAATTTTTATAATTATTCAGTAACTACATCAAAAATGAAGCTCCGTCTAAAATTGTTAAAATATTTAAGTTTAAAAATAATCTTTTAAATCTCTCGATTCACTATTATAATATAAAATATTACGCAGGTAGCACGCATATAGCTAACAGGTATGCAATGTACAATATGCACCTGTATATAAATCACCACCACTTATTATATGCAAAGTTATTACGGTCAATTAAAATGAAAATAATGAGAACGTTTTACGATGCACCGATTTAAGAAAAGTTTTATTGGGTACTTGAGATTGGTTTACAGTTCTGATAAAGAGTATTACCAATGATAAAGAGAAAAGGTATATACCAGACAGTATAAGACTTATTTAAATAAAACATTTTAACGGTTTTAACGCGATATATAAACTTAAAACTAAATATCTTAAACTTATTTAAATATTATTTTTTACTACGGCCTGACGTTTCAGCACTTTGTGGCAGCCGTGGTCACGGGGAAACGTCCTTCCATATTTAAAAATAATTTTCAAATAAGTTTAATATATCGCGTTTTAAACCGTTAATGTGTTTTATTTTAATATGTACTAGTCGCCTAAACTACAGACAGTATATAAAACTTATTGTTTTTTTTTAACTTACTTTTTACTCATTAGCTAGGATTATTGAAATAAAATGATAGTATGAAAAATATTTAAATCGATCAGTACGATTCTGCTAGATGAGAGCAGCGACCGTGGGACAAATCTCTACATCTCAGAACTGGTCGGCAGGTGTGCTCGCGCACACATCTCCACCTACGCACACAACCCCATACAAACCTGAAGCACTTATGAATGAAGCTGGCGTATCTATGCTCAACACGAACGCACGACGCAATCGCGCTTATAAAAATCCAATATTAATTTGTTCTACTCGGCACGAAAGAGCATAGATGAAGTAATTAAAACGTCAGATAATCATCTCGTTTGATGAGACTGTCGTCTGATTAAACGATACGCACCGAAAAGACATACATTTCACTCTTAACTATGCTTTGATATCACCGAATTGATTATTCACGTTGTAAAAGTTGACTAATGGAAATTGTATCACAAATTAGCTTCGAGATAAACCAAAGGGCGTAATTTGTTTTGATATACGTTAACTGCATAGATAGCTCCGTTTTGTAATATCAAACGATATGTAAATATCACATAAATAAACTTTTATACAGACGTTACATTTAACAGTGCTCGTTAATCGAGTTGAACATCGCCACGACACATTATCGAACGAGCAATCGATGTCAATCGTCAGTTTCGATCGACAGATAAAAGAGAAATATGCACAACTCGTTCCGCTAAATACAGTCTGTGGTATGTTTGATCTTAATTAAACACAGATTATGTTGTCTTCATTAAATAAGCTCGGTGAAATATATTTTTATTAAGTAAATCTAAATTAATATCAACTATATATAAATAAATTATTTTCACCCACATAATAAATCCTTTTAGTTCCGAGCTTCAAGTTAAATATTTTCAGCGGGAAATAGAAAGTTCCACAAAAAGTACGATATAAGTATATATAAAGATAATATCTTGATAAATCTAAAATGCAAATAATTAAGATTCTATAAAAAAAGAAAATATGGTGGGTACTATTAAAATGGCAAATCCTTTTTTATTCATAGGCTTACTAATTCAAAATATTAAATAATAAAATGGCTAAAAATCCTTGTTTTTTTTTATAGACATCCCGTCGCAGGTGCCTCCCCTGACGCCGGGTACCAACAAGAAGATGGCAGAGGCGCTGAAGGCCACCTTCGCCTCATGGGAGAAGGAGCAACTACGGCTTGGTGTGCCCAAAGGTAATATTTATGCTAAATTTTAATGATATTTACATGAAAATTTAAAGGCTCGTCGTTGTAATAATCAACAGACTCTGGGTTCGATCCCAACCAGGTCTTACTTTTTATTAATCAATTTATAATTTTTCTAAAACATTTTGAACTTTGTCTGGAAATCTGCATATTAAATGGATGGTAGAAATGTTCTGTCCAGGTCACGAACTACGCAAACGCAAGAACATAATACAAATTATAGGACTCATACCTATTTAATGTTAATTATAGATACCAACGTAGACCAGTCTAATGTGCTGTATGGTATGAGTCCGGTTTGACTCGCGCGAAACGCGTTGTATTGCGTTAATCTTATCTTGTAGAAATTTATTTTAGGGTGGTAAAAAGGTAAAAGATCATAGTTGTACACATAAACCTGGATTGGTTCGGTTGGACGAACATATCCCCCCAACACCCAAAAAATGTATTTTGTTTTAATTCACACAGCAGTACGTAAATGACACACAAGTAACATGATATAAAAGTGGCATGATATAAAAGTGGTTACAATAAATTTTAGTTCACTAAATATTATTTTGAGTGCTGTTTATTCATTCAACTTCTCTGTTTTACGCGCAGGAAGGAAAAGCCATAAAACCACAAAGATACGCATTATAAATTAATAATACTTTCGAAAAGTTGTTTCAGATCTAAGAGCTCTTTATAGAATGGTTTTAACGTTTCATAAAGGGAGTTTAATTTTTCTTACATTTATAAATATAAATTATAAATAAAAGTGTTAATGAAGTCCATAAAACTCGTTCGGTATCTTTATATAATAACTTCGAATTTAAGACAATATTTCACGGCATGTTCAGCATACCATTGGCTTTCGGGCTGTTCGGCCGACGTGAGCGAGAAGTGAGGGTTCTCGACGTTTCGCCATCACGTGCGGACGCCATCATCAGGAGATGGTAACTCTTCGATTGCTTGAAGAATTAATACATAATTCTTCGAGTAATCGAGTTCATCGAACAGCTCGAAAGCGAATGATATGTTGAAAAGTTGCAGTGTATTTTTAACTTATTTAAAATATAGTCTCGCATTTTAAAGTCTTGAACTGAATTAGACTTAACCACAACATTTGAAGGACAACGTTAAAATCCTGTGGCAAACATAAAAGATATACTAACACAAGATACACATCCAAAATAAAAAGTAAAAAGTACACTCAAATAGATTCAAGCTCTGCGAGCCCTGATGGAATAAAATTCACATTAAGTCCCTAGGAACCTTGAATACTCCAATTTGCATACGTTGTGTACTCTGTAGCTTGTATTTAGAGTGATGGACGGATGGCGACCACCACTGAAGTATAAAGAAACTTTCGACTGATTCTATGTTTTTAGTCTGGGGATAAAGAAACAAATAAAATGCGATATCAATACTCTGAAGGTTGGTGGCGTTCAAGACTGCGGATTAAAAATATCAAGGCTCTAATTTTTTCAAATAAATACACATACAAAGTACTTATAACTAGATACTGTCTGTAATGTACACGAGTAGGACACATTTAAAACTAAAATACTTGAACAATTTAAAACGCGATATATTAATTAAACGTATGCGGGCCTTCAGCAAAGCTTGAAACGTCGGGCCGTAGTTAAAATAATTTCCAAAAAAGTTTAACTCATATATATCGCGTTAAAAAAGTGGTTTATTTAAATCCTTATAACTGATTAATTTATTAATTACGTAGATTAAAACAAAATACGCACTTGGAAAAAAATACGTACGATCGCGGCTAACGTAGAGATCATGCGAACCTTTTTCGATATGTAACGACTATGACCTGTCATAGAGCATAGAGCAGACAGGTGGCATGGCGGGTCGTCGCCCGTGATCGGCGGAAGTGCGTGCGTCTGCGCCGTGTCTATTCGCGCTTCCGCTCACTGCGCCCACGATCATTCTAAAATCAATGCATATTCCAAATGGCACTAATATTACGAATCACCATCTCGCTTCCTTAGCTGGTCAGCTACTTGATATAAATATCAGGATTTTTGGCAAACAGAAACAGAAACTGTATGTTTATACATCTTTACTTTATGCAAACTCTATTATCTTTTATTGGATTACGCTCAAAAAAAGTAAAAAGTACTTAATGGTAAAAAAACTTCGTCCACATTAAAGATTAATAAATATATAAAAATTATGTCGATATTAAAATCACGATCAAACCTGAAGTGACTCCAATTAATTGCGCCTCGTAAGTTCTAATAATTTAGAATCGATGTTAATTACGATTTTTTTTATAAAAGATGACTTTTGGCAACATAAAGGTCGCAAAATAATTTATCAATTGATACGTCTTAATTGTTCAAGTCTACAAGACCTCAATTATATTTTTAAAACCGGTTTTTTTCCAAATGCAATTTTCATAAAACATAAGTTAATGTCAATGCCGTATTTTTAATTTTCTTGTTATTCATTGCGATATTACATTTTCAGTGTTCGTAATACCACAGCGTATTCAACTTAGAATGTATCATCTAGATAGTAAGTTGTCTTGTCTATTATCTCTATAATTTTTGGATTTCAATAAATCCCTTTTCTAAAGAATACATAACTCGTATCTTCAATACTGCGTTAGTCAAGTGCTATAAGAAGAAAGACCATGCACCAGCATGAAAAAACCATTTCATTCATTTGATCAGATTGAGACTCGTACCAATATGTAGGAGGCCTAAGGTTCCGTCGTAAGAATTATCACCCCAGAAAACATCTTAGTTCTACATATACCTAATTTTATTTAGTAATGTGATGACATGAAAATTTATTGACCGTTTTATAACATTCCGAATGTTGATCATCTGAATTAATATATGAATAATTAATTTTATCAAGATGGAGATAGCATCAAAACTTATCTTAGATCCTATTACGATATACTAACTTTTTTTTAATGTTGCATATATATATATTTTAAATATCAAATGATTTTTCTAGAATATAACAATTAATTGATACTAGGTATCTCTAGTTTTAAGCGAGTAGAAGGTTTACATTTAAATAAAACACTTTAACGGTTGAAAACGCGATATATATTACTTAAACTTATTTGAAAAATATTTTTAACTACGGCCCGACATTTCGGATGCTATGCAACAGCCGTGGTCAGATCAGGTGGGAGGCCAACAAATATATATCGCGTTTTAAACCGTTAAAATGTTTTATTTAAATGGTAGAATCTGTTTGAAAGCAGTTACAGAAAAGCAAGTCACTCATCTAGTCGTATTACGGAATAACAGCGCCGCACTCCGGCCACAGGCTAAAAGCTGTAATTAAACTAATTATTTATTATTAGCCCGCTCTCGTCCCGCTTTTCGCTCAGGGAAAAAGTCATATTACGACCCACGACGCAATTTGTGACTTAGTAGTAACACTTAACTGCATTTGTATCGATTAGCTTTCTACGAGTTCGCGAAAGATGAGAGAAACTCTAAATCATTTTAATTGAAGCTCGTTAATAAAAAAGAAAATTCCTTGTTTTCACCTTTATGATTGAAAGAAAAAACAAAAAAGCATTAAATAAAACACACGGTAACGCGACCTTTAATTAGCCCCCCCCGGCCCCCCCCCCCCCCCGGGCCCGGGGGGGGGGGGCGGCCCGAAAAGCCCCGGGCGGGGGGCGGGGGGAAACACCCCGGAAAAAAAGAAAAAAAAAAAAAAAAGTGTTTAAAACCTTAAAAGGGTTTTTTTAAAATGTGTACTACTCGCGTAAACTATTGACACTAAACGAAAATACTATAAAGCAGTTAATTGTTTCCTAAGTGATTGTTATATACCTATATACAATAATTTATGTAAGTCCTTTAGAATTTAACAAAACCTTTGAGAAGAAAGGGAAAAAATATAGTAAAAAAGTCTTCCATTCCCTAAGAAAAAAACAGCTATATATTTGAAGATTATTTACAATTATAATAATAGACAAAAAGCTTTTGCCACTTTTTGCCAACTTTATTATTTAATCAGTATAGCAAATAAAGACACTTAAAATATATAATTCAATTGCCAAGTTTGCCGATTGTTAAATTAAAATTGTGCAGTGTTGTCATTTTCTGCGTTAATAGTGATTTCCGATCGGAAGCGGCCATTACCGATCTATAACCAACCTTGCAATTGGGTAAACAGTTTGATCATCTTCAGCAATAATAGAAATCACTTATATCAAGCAGTGGGTACGCGAAGGTCGCTCGCTTCCTGCGTGAGGCAAGTTCCGGAGTTAGCGAATGGAACCCAACTAATTGTTCCTCTTGCTTCATATTCGATTGCTATTATTTTTCGATTCAGCCTTCAATTTATAATTGATTCTCTCGTAACTATCAAATGTGTGATTTGAATCAACGTAAGATGTCTGTACTACTGTACTGTACTTGGGAGAGCGTATTTAAATATTTGTCATATATTCTATAAATAAAACAGTTTTAATTGTTTAAAATCTGAAAAGTATTAGTTAACTTATTAACATATTTTAACCATGGCCCGACGTTAGGGATGTTTTGCAGCAGTCGTAGTCACAGGGGGGCTGGTAAAGTAGAAATTAGTTACACTAATACACTTCGCGTTCTATTTAAATTTGTACTACTCAAACTACAGGCAGTACTTAATAGATTCTGTATTAAAAGGATTCAGGAATCGTTTGGTTTAATCTCAAATAAGTCTACTTATTCAGGGAACTTAATTATATTCCCCGAAGAAGTCACTTTATACCTGACGTATTTTCCTGAAAATTAAAAAAATACTTGTTAATTATCTTGCTAATTGCCCATCAACCAAATTTAACGGATCCTTCTTGCTAGAATCATTAACTATACTTATAAGTTAGACAACGGACAATAAGTTCTCATAGATTTCTTCATAGCTTATACATCTATATATTTACTATTTAATACTTGTTACCAGACCCTCGCCAATGGAGCGAGGCCGCCGTAGCAGCGTGGCTTCGCTGGGCCGCGCGCGAATTTTCCTTGGAAGGCGTAGCACTGCAACAGTTTGCGCGGGCGCAAGGAAAGGACATCTGCGCTATGGGCAGAGAGGAATTCGTGGCCCGTGCGCCAGCTTTCATGGGCGACATCCTGTGGGAACACTTAGAAATTCTTCAAAAAGGTAAAAAAAACACGACCGTTATACAGTTTTTTGTCTCTCGTAGCCACTTTGAAGAGATAGTATTACCTTGTACATACGTTTCGTTGTTAATACTACAATTTAAAAAAAGGCTTTTACTTACGAGTATATATTAGTTAATGTTTAGATATTGAAGCGTCATCAATGTCTTAGCGTAACAGTGTAGCAAACATCTGCCAAATTGTTAATAATATTATTAGTATTGCGAATCTAAATACAAGTGTCATTTTCAGACGTAGAAAAGGAAAGATCGCTGCTCGCCAATGTGCCACCAAACATGTACGAAAGCAATGTTTGTCTGCCAGAGTTACCTGATTACATACCCCCTCCAGCCCACCATTACAACAATAATAATAATAATGGTGAGTAACATTTTTTTTTAAACACAAGAGTTCGTAGTCACCGATCGATCCCCACCGGGTCTAAGATGTTTCAAATTAATTCATAATTTTTATGTAACACTTCGCCTAGTAATCTCGATATTAAATAGATGGCAGTCACAAACCACCGTCCACAGATGAAAAAGTCGTGCAGTTTAATTGCATTTCGGTTTCAGTCTATGGATTTCCAAGTATCCAAAGCCAAAATAGGTCGATAGCACATCTTGTTCAAATGGCTGGGGCACATCATTTACCATCAAGTAAACGCCACGCTTGTCTAGCCTCCTCTATCATAAAAACATAGCGATAACAATTTTTATTTGAATGTCGTCGCTATCACAAACCGTTCTATAAAGTATCTTTATTGTTGGTTAAGGGTCGTAACTAGCTAATACTTGTTGGGTTATCGTGAATGGTAGTTTAATGAGAGTTACTTTACCGTCGCAGATAAGAAGCGCCTATCTTTATGAGTAGATAGCTACGAGCGAGATTATGATTACGGCATGTAAAGTCATTTAAAAATGCTAACGAACATGGCGGTCCGTGAGAATGTGTGAAATATTCAAATAATTACTTCAATAGTATCTATATTTACCAAATCCTAAAAGCAATTATCGTTGCAAATAAAAGTGTAGTACACATATTATGCTTATATTCATTCTATTTAAAGAAACGTAAAGGTTTAAAGCGCAAAATATACTTGTAAATATTTATTTGTAGTACAACTCAACGTTTTAACGCTATGAAGCCGTCGTGATCGCCGTTATGTTTTGTCTTTTTGTGACATTTACGGCATAAAAAATATTTTCGTCTCCACTAAAGCTCGTAAGATTTTAATGTCGTCCAATATCAAGATACAGTGGGCATCGTTTATCAACTTTTTTTTTGCAAGGAAAAATTATAATATATTTTCAGTTATCAAACCTGTGACACTAGTTTTTTATTCACTAGAAATGTTGATGAACTCCGGCAACGTTAAATATATTTTAATTTTAATATTCATTTTCCTTACATAAAATCGTCAATGGTAGTCTTCATTCATATGTTTCCACTAGAAACGTCATATAGTTAGTCAAAATTTACCAATTCCGGGGGTTGGCTGCGCAATCTCAAATGAAAGTCCATTTCCACTACATATAAAACGGCGTTTATAGCGCTGTAAATCATAGCAGCGGGATGTTTTGACTGGGAAACGCGAACGTGCTACTGTAATAATAAATTAACTAAGAGACAAGGCCCTCTTGACATTAACACGGGTGGTCTAGCAGACACCTTCGCGTAGCATGTTAAACATGCCGAGTTTACAGCGATATAATTATCATGCGCATAATTTAGCACTACTTCTACGAGCCTAATTGTGCATACGAGGGCACACTTTTGAAATGGGACAGTCATTAATACTATTTGTGTTTTTCCACAATAGTTTTACGTACAGTTCTACTTTTTTTCCAAAAAACACTTTCGATCTCAGTCTAGATGTTATTCCTTACATAAGGCTAATGCATTCCTTTGTGGAAATACAGTATTTTTCAAATCAAAACCTCAAAGTTGGTTAAAACCGTAACACGATGAACAACACACAAAAAAAATATCGATGAAAAAAAACTTGGCATCGTCTTAAAACGTCCCTATCAGCGATTTAGCAGCAAATCCTGCATAACATATTTATGGCGATTGCGTCATCTAATATAATCGTCGTTTGGAAAACATCATTAATACCACATCGAGTGTGTTTCCAGTCGGCTGGGCGGTGCCGCAACGCGACCTTGGCGTCGTTTTTCCGCTCTCTTTCAGCCCGCGAGGCCTGCGTCTTGTCGTGTGTGTGTCATCTTTCCAGTTTTCATAACACCAAAACTACACGTGCGGAACATGATCATCGCTTGTATACTTAATATCCAATGCAAGGGGTGGTATTCCCTAAAGATATTGGAGTCAGCGACTTATCTGACTACACTAGACTATATACTTATGTTAAAGAAGAAATATTTATTCATAATTCTTCGAGCAATCGAGTGGTTAACATCTCCTGATGATGCCGTCCACATGTGATGGCGAAACGTCGGGAACCTCTTCTCGCTCACGTCGGCCGAAGAGCCCGAAAGACAATTATATTCTTAACGATGGCCGTGAAAGCCTTACACAATTTATTAAGAAATATTCTCTCCAGTAGATGATAGCTTATCTAAACTAGATTCTTGTTTGTCTAAGGTATAACCACGCGAGCATTTCAAGAGTAAAAAAAAAATAAACCTTTATTACTTAAATGGAAACTTGACAGTTTAAAACGCTAAATATATTAGCTATCTTATTGAAATAATATGTAGGAAAAATGTCCCCAGTATAACAATATATGTTTATCTATTATATATTAACTTTGTCAAAATCATCTTTATTTTTACGTCTTTTATTCGTCTTGCTTTTTCGTTCCTAGCCCACTAATTTGTATTAAAACATTAAAAAAACCCAATGAAACACATGAAAGACCGTGCTAATGACATAATATTTTAAATATTGTTGTAAGATCAGAGGGCTCTTTGATGTTTGATATTTATTTGGGAACATTATAATCATGTTTGTGACAAATTTTCAGATGCGCGGATCACGTGTTAATTATGTCTCGGATTAATTTTCATATTTTTGCCGCTTCTAATATATACTAAAGCTGAGTCCTGACATTCGACTTCAATAAAGTAGTTAACAAATGAATACGGCCCGTATAGCTTAATACACCGCGAACCATAATAAGTGCGAGAGTACGTTTGTTCGAATCGCGAGGACACAACAGTCAACGAATCGGAGTGCCTTCGCCTTAATTAAATTTTGTGTTTTACTATAAAAATTATTGTAAAAAATGAACGTGAAATAAATACATTGATTAGAGTTTTTTGACCGTTTAATCGAAGTTTTTAAATATAATAAAGAACCGTTCTTTATCAGTGTCATTATTATTTACTGAAATTAAATAACGAACGGAAACAAATCTAGCTAAAAGAATTCGTCTGTAAGACCATGACAATTTTCAGCACTTGCGAAATTACATGCGCTCTTATCGTTACAGCGTTTCTTGCTTGGCATTGAGTTCTTAATTAATATCGTTCAACGATATATGAAAGGTTGCATCCCTTCCATGCGCCTTCACCAGTTCTTGTAAACACTGGTCAGTCTTAGGCTGTAGCTTCAGCGCGCTGTTCTTTCCTCTATAACAGAGACTTTTCTTCTACTTCGTACCTCTTTCGTGATCTATTTTTAGTTAAGGTGAATAACGTGAATTGTAAATACTTTTGCGTAGTCGAGTAATCGGCTCAGTGTCAAGTGTTAGTGATAAATATGGCCAAGTTGGATTCTGGATAAGATATGTTCTTGCATCCAAGCTCCCGCCCTAGGGAATCCAACGAGCTGGATCCGCTTTTAGTATGGCGCGGTGAGTTCTGAGGATTAAAGAAGTGAAAAATCAAATTCAGCTAATTCGTACAAAAAAAAATTATATAAGCTCGCCTTCAATAAATATACATTTTCGTACATCCCCTCTCTACAAATAATAGTTACTACAATATTATAATTTATAAAAATAAATAACTTCTTCGATGATTGCACAATTGGTAGCTCAATTGGTGATGACCACGTAACGTAGTCTTGGGTTCGAGACCAAGAAATTTAATAAAAAAAAACTTATTTACAGATGCAAATGTCGTCCTTGCGTGTGTTATAAATAATGCAATTAGGTCGGTGACACGAAGGTTAATGCACAAAAAGTATAGAAATTAAGCAATAGCATACGAGTGTGTGTGTGTGTGCAATGTCCGAGGCATCCGCGCTGTCGCAAGACAGCGCGCACATCCTCGCGTTGCGCATTCGCCCGTTAATCGCCGGACGTGCGCTTGCGCCTCGGAACTGCGCTGCAGCTTGCAACATTGCACCCCACTACTACTAACGTACTGAGATATCATTGGCCTATGAATATGAATTTCATGTAATACTCCTGATATTTATACATTTAGTTGAAAATAAATAAATTATTGATTTTCAAATCAAATACTTATTTAGCTGTGATGGCGATTACTCCGATAAAGCAATAACGAAAGTGGATCTTACGTCCCGTAACTAAAGAACGCCAACTTCGATGATTTTGTAATGAGCCATAGATTTTAAAAACACTGCAATATTTAACTCTATGCTTGTTATAAAACTATCAAACTCACAACGTCAAAGATTGTATTTCTTTACAGGTATATACTATAACCAAGCTATATACGATAAAATATGTGCAATTAAAAATTAGCAGTATGCCAAGTTACATTAAAATTAAGTCCATCACATTCCTAGTTATATTTAGAAGCGTGAGTCATTAGCTCGTTGACCAATCACGATAAATGATTACCATAAAGTGGCAAAGCTAGGAGTTAGGTAATGTTAAAAACGCCTTGTACCCTTTTAGCAAACCATTTATCATTCAACTCCGCCCAGAGTACGTTCTGTTCAATTATATTGCACCTTAACAGGCATTTTCACTTTTTTAACTCGCATAATTAAGGAAAAAACGTATCAAGGCCTTTTGTTTGATCTACATACGAAATTAAAGGAAAAAAAAGTTGAGTCATTAATGCATTGAACAAAAAATAAACTAAGCGGGCAAGTAATTTGTTAGTTTTCATATGAGAAAGGAGATTTATTTAACGAATATATCCGTTAATAAAACGATATGCATTTTATAAACGAATAATGCAAGCGCGTGCTCGAAACACGAGATAAATATTAATCTCATATCATTTACACAATACTCAAGCAACGATAGAAGAGTCGATAGTGAAAATATTGAGCTTTCTTCAATATCAATAAAAAGATACGTGTCACTTGAAGCGGCCACATCCGGACCATTGTGCTTCAACTGGCTTCCGGTGCAACCCGATACACTCCTGCGCACGTGCGGACCTTTTCAAATTTCGAATTACGTAAATCGGCACAATGGACGAATTGGAACATAA